AATAAAGTCTAACATACTTCTGAGAGTAGATCTGCCTAGGCTAGTCTCTTATGGGCCATAACTAGCACATCTGATATTCCGTTCTGTCTGGCCAAATCCCTTCAGCCAACCATCAACTGACATTTCTCAGACGATCAGCTGTCCTCCAATGATACTGGAGAGTGACTGTCCACTAACTGACCAATCATTTGTATTTATTTATTTGAATCTTATACCCTACTTTCCTCCCCAATAGGGACCCAAAGCAGCTTACAATATTGTTCTCCCCATCTTAATTTTATCCTTACAACAACAGGCCACAGCTTACCCAGAGAGTTTCCATGGCAGTGTGGAGATTTGATCCTTGGGTTTTCCAAGGATCAACACCAATGCTCCCTCTAAGCTGTGTGGAGTCTTGTGAGCAAAAATTCTACTTTGTGAGCTACTGGCATTAAAGTTGTGAGGGAGCAATTTGGCTACTGCATGAATTAGTTTGCTCTGGAGCCCTCCTTCCCGAGCTAAAATTCAGCTTAGAGGGAACACTGATATTACACCATGCTGCTCTTTTGTGGCTCTTTATGACTCCAGATGCCATGTCCCACAACGAACAGTTTCCTAATTGGGAACTAGGTAAGATTGAGCAAAAAAGCAAGATGGATCCAAACCATTATTCACTTACCCTTGTCCAGCACATGTCAGAGAATGAAGAGTAGAAGAGTTAAAAAGGAAAAACAGAACGGGAAGGGGAGCAGAGGGAGATATTATCCTTTTCCGCATGCGCATTTGGGTATTTGATGATCCAAGTGGACCTCAGATCTCCACAGACTTGGAGGTTTAAAGTTCCAAGAGGGACTGCTTAGCCAAGGAACCAAGTGAGAAGAAAAACAGAACGGGAAGGGGAGCAGAGGGAGATATTATCCTTTTCCGCATGAGCATTTGGGTATTTGATGATCCAAGTGGACCTCAGATCTCCACAGACTTGGAGGTTTAAAGTTCCAAGAGGGACTGCTTAGCCAAGGAACCAAGTGAGAATCTGATCAGTGACTCAGGCAATTATCCAAAGGGGAGCCATGGAGGAAACCAAGTGGAACAGGGCTGAACAGCAAGAGAGCTAGAGACACAGAGGACACAGTTCCAAGCTGTGCACATGAGGGGCAGTTCTTGTTATAAAGGTTGAGGAATATTTGATTTTCCTGGGGCAGGAGTGAGGTAGGTGGGAGAAGATCTGGTAAAATCAAAGTAAATCTGGTTGGGGAGAAAGTGGAGGCACTCCTGGATCCTAGGTACTTCTCTAATCAGGGGACGTGGTGATGCGCACGCTGAAAATGGCCGCCTAGCCCTGTAAGCACGTCTGTTTCCCCACTCCTAACAGAAAATCATAATGTGACCTAGAGACCTTATGGACGGAAAACACAGAGAAAAGAAAGCCACAACAGAGACTACTCCTTCCAGAGTGAGTAACAGCGCAGCTAGCTGCTGTTTTCGGCCAAAATCAGTGGAACTGGCTGTGAGCAGTAAGGCCAGAGATAACAAAATAGCGAACAGACACTCTGAAGAGCTAGAAACAACCCCCGCGATTACTAAATCAGACCTAGCCGAGATGGAAAGTCGTTTATTAGTTAAGCTGGGGGCACGGTTTGAACCAATAAAGGAACAGCTTACCCAAATAAAAGCTTCTATATCCGAGACAAAAAGAAATCACGATAGGGGCTATGACGCTGGTAGAGACGCTCCAGGAAGAAAACCGTCACAACAAGATAAACTGAAATCCAAAATGCTTGCTCTGGAGATGGAAGCTCGACAAAATAACTTAAAATTAAGAGGCTTCCCAGAGCAGCGAGAAGAGGAAGCTGACTTATCATTCATAGCAAACTGGTTGGCAACTATTTTGAAGCTAGACGTGGGAGAAGCACCAACAATAACTAAAGCCTACCGTCTGGAAGCTCCTCAGAAAAGGCCCCATCTTCACCCTACTGGATTACAAACTAAAAAAAAGAATACTGAATGAGGCAAAACAAAAAGGGACCCTGGACTACAAAGATATTAAAATTGAAGTATACCAAGATCTTCCCTCAGAAACCATCAACAAGAGACATGATCTAAAGCCCATAACAAGCCAACTAAAATCAGCTAACCAGAGCTATAAGTGGACTGGCCCTGCCACACTTCTAGTTTTCCATGATACGGAAAAATTTCACGCACAGGACTACGCGACAGGTCTGCAACTGCTGAAACAAATGGGACTGAATGAGCCATCAGATGCCAACAAAAAAAGGTTTCAAGAGAAAGCCCTTCATTATTAATACACCACACAAAAGCAGAAAGATTCATACAGTTTTTTAGACTGTGTGTAATGGAACTCCTCTGGAGCTGCGGTGGCTCAGGTGGTTAAGACGCTGAACTGCAGGCTGTGGAAGGTCAGTAGTTCAGCAGTTCAAGACCCGGGTGCCGCAAGACGGGGTGAGCTCCTGTCTCTAGTTCCAGCTCCTGCCAACCTAGCAGTTCGAAAGCAAGAAATTGCAAGTAGATAAATAGGTACCACTTTGGTGGGAAGGTAACAGTGTTCTGTGCACCTTGGTGTTTAGTCATGCCGGCCACATGACCACGGAAACATCTTCTGACAGCGCTGGCTCTTCGGCTTTGAAACGGAGATGAGCACCGCAACCCTAGAGTCGGATTCGACTGGCTTTCGAGCAAGGGAACCTTTACCTTTACCTTTAATGGAACTCCTAAATGTAATCCTAAAAGTAATCAACCCTGACTGTTCCCTGGAAGGCCAGATAATGAAACTGAAGCTCAAATACTTTGGCCACCAAATCATTGAGAAGGGAGCACTCACTGGAGAAGACCCTGATGCTTGGAAAGATTGAAGGTCAAAGAAGACGGGGACGGCAAAGGATGATATGGTTAGACAGTGTCATAGATGCAACGAACATGAAATTGAGCCAACTTCAGAGGACGGCGGAAGTCAGGAAGGCCTGGCGTGATCTGGTCCATGGGGTCGCGAAGAGTCGGACTCGACTGTGCGACTGAACAACAACAATGGAACTGGCAACACCAAGTGTCTCTGGGTTGCAAAAATAAGTGTACTATTATTTCTCAGTTATATAAGAGATCTATAGTAATGATTAAAGATAATATAATTAAAAGCTTGGGGTTAGGAGGGAGAAGGGACCTTAGATAAGTTAATTAAAGACACCTTAGTTTGTTAAGCCAGAAGAGGGTGGTAGTAGTTTCTATACTCCTGTGTGGGCACAGGAGCCCCAAAGGCGATTCTTTCTGTTATTTTTATTTTATTTTTGATAGTTTTAATAGTAGTTAAGTAAGTATACACCAAGATAAGTAGTTTAATGCACAAATTAGTGAGTGTTAGTTTAGAGGGGGGGTATTTAGAGTTAAGTATAGGATAAGTGAGATAGATAGGAACCACAGTTCATATATACTCAGACAGGTATTCTAATCAGGGGACAGTGGAAGCCTTTGAGACAGGAAGGAGAGGGGCTTTTTTGAAACCATGAAAACAGGAGGAAGAAAAGGTTAGGGCACCTTTTGGAATAAGCACCATAAGTTACAAGCTCAGGTCAACAGAGGTCCATCTGTTCAGCAAGAGTAAAGCGAGACATGGCATTGTACACCACACGGCCCCTTGATTGGATCGAAACGCTTAGGATAATAGCCACAGAGCGGACAATGACTGGGGGAATCTCTCTGGGTGTGTCCTTTGTGCCAGACTGCACCTTTCCATGGCCAAACTAGTTGGCTGCTACATTTCACAATTAAAATTCAACTATGCAAAGTCATCCACTCCTGCCATTTCTCCTGGCCAATTGTGCCTCTTTGTCTAGCACCTCCAAAGCTCATCCAGTTCTCTTGGTGAAAGTGCTGACCAGAGCAGGACAGAAGTAGAGGTGTCAGCCTCCAGGTGGGACCTGGGGATCCCCTGGAATTACAGCTCATTTCCAGACTACAGAGATCAGCTCCCCTGGAGGAAACGGGTGCTTTGGAGGGTGGACTCTATGGTATTGTACCGCACTGAGGTCCCTGTCCTCCCCAGGCTCCACCCCCAAATCTCCAGCAGTTTCCCAACCCGTGATCTGGCAAACCTAACCCGCCATCCCCCGCCGGTGGCCAGGGCAGACCTGGCAACACTATCAGAGCAAAGAAATGCTGGCACACTTACACACACGTGCTGGCTTTGTAACTGATCAGGTTACCATGATGACACATTGATGTCTGTTTTGAAATACACGTTATGAGCAGGTGATCAGTGAATCATAAGCTACTGATTTTATCTGATCAGAAGTATTGATACAAAAGATTTTACCTCTATATTGTGGTGTGCGTACGTGACAATATTGGCCTTGTTTTGGGCATACGTGCCACTGAGGAAGGGTAATTGCCAAAATACGTTTGGCTCTTCTAATACGTTTCGCCATGTTGGCTCTTTTATGGGGTGCATTTCTGCATGCTTGTACATGTTTAGGTGCTGTGCTCCTGATAGCCTTTGTCTCTTCTAGGGTTTCTGGACAAGATTCTTTCCTGTATCGGAGCAGATCCGCACTCTGCTGGCCCGGAAGGCTCTCGGGGACGTGAAAGTGATCCAAGCACATCTGGGCTTTCCAATGGAAGACGTCCAGAGACTGGTGGATAAAAAACTGGGAGGAGGCGTCATAATGGACTTGGGATGCTACTGCGTCCAGTTTGCTTCTATGGTCTTCGGGCCTGAAAGGCCACAATCCATCATCGCCTCAGGACTGCTTCGTGGCACAGGTAAAGCGTGAGGCCTCTAGAACGGGCTGGGGGGGGGGTTGCAGAGGCAAGGGAACAGAAGTCCTACCCTCCAGCGTTCCAGAGCTGATGTGGGGTAGTGGTTAGGGTGCAGGGATAGGATCTTGGAGACCGACGTTCTGCCGTTGTGACAGGGGAGGGCTGCCATCCCCCCACCCCCTGCTGCTGGTCAGCTGACTGGCAGGGGGAGGGTACTTACCATTGGCAGGGGGAGGCTTAAGCAACCCTAAGGATGGACCTGGCAAGCCTGTGGGAGTAATAGTTGACTCAGTTTATGTTTGTTTATATGCTACTGCCCCTTTAAGACAGAATCATGTGGAATTCTATGTCACGGAGACGGAGTCAGCAGACTTCAGTACTGAAGTGCGTTTAGTTCTGACGGTGTTGTGTTCAGGGTGTTCTCAAGAAACAGAAGTCAATATTTACTACACTTCCTGCCTTTCCTGCCAATTGGAGTGTAACACCATGAAGTCCTGAGATCAGACACTATCTCTCAGGCCAGCCTCGCCTGCCTTGTTACCCAAAGAGGCAGTCTCCTATTTAACTGGGGGGGGGGGATTAGCTTTAAGGAGACAGAGCGAGAGGGGGTTACTGGGATCTCCATCAATGTTTACCGGAATTTTTCCTTTGGAGAGCTCTCAAAATAAACCAGAAAAATGTTCCACCAGTAATGTTTTTATTAAAAAGAAATGGGAATGAGCAAAAAACACACGCAGACACACTTAAAACATGCACAAGGCTAACTAAGCGGAAATCGGGGAGGAGAGGGAGAAAGCAGTTTCAGGGAAGGCTACACAATTACCAGTCTCAGAGGTCCATGGAAGCAGCAGTGAAACGACCAGCATTTCATAGAGGCCCACATGCAAGTGGGGGTGTCAACCTGACAAGGGGGTTGTGAGGCTCATATGGGCAGAGGAGAACCTGGCATGCTACCCTGAACAGCTCACAGGAAAAGCAGGATAAAAAATGAACTAGAGAGATAAGGAGTTACACATGAAAACAGAGGTCAGCTCTGGGTTGAGAAATACCTGGAGATTTTGGGGGGTGTAGCCTGGGGAGGGCAAGGTTTGAGAAGGGGAGGGACCTCAGCAGGGTATAATGCCATATAGTCCACCTTCCAAAGCAACCATTTCCTTTGGGGGGGGGGAAGTGATCTCTGTAGTCTGGAAACACATTGTAATTCCAGGAAATCTCCAGCCACCACCTGGAGGATGGCAACCCTCGCCAGAACCTCCCTACTGCTACAGCAGCACACAATAGCAAAGGCTCTGCTTTGCCCATTGTATCCATTCATTTTCCACGAGCTCAACCTTGACTGATTTTGATGCCAAGGAAATGTCTGTCCTTTTCGTAAAAATAATGTGTAAAAACCATAATTGTTCTGTGCCAGCAATACAATATCAACAAGTCAGGCACTGCAGGGGTGGCAACAGCAGGTAGTATCTTGTATGGAGCCTTAATGTTGTGCATGCATGTGCAAGCACATGTACTAGAAACAGGATGCTGCTTTCCCCATGCTGAGTTTGATTGTCCAATCTGATTTAGCAGGGAAGAAGAAGAGAAGAGATTGGATTTATACCCTACCCTTCACTACCCAAAGGTGTCTCAGAGCGGCTCACAAACTCCTTTCCCTTCCCCTCCCCACAACAGACACCCTGTGAGGTGGGTGGGGCTGAGAGAACTCTTGACAGAAACTGCTCTTTTTCAAGGACAGCTGTGCCAGAGCTTGTGACTGACCCAAGGTCACATCGGCAGGTGCAAGTGGAGGAGTGGGGAATCAAACCTGGTTCTCCCAGATTAGAGTCGGCGCAGTTAACCACGACACCAAACTGGCTCTCATGATAACATAGAAGCTACTGGAGAATTTGGGAGAGGAAATTGGGGTAGGGGAGAAATGAGGGTTGTCGTGCTTCCAGAAGAGACTTTCGGGTAGTTATTGCTCTTTTTCTGTGTTTCCTAGGTGTGGATGAAACCGCTTCCATGATCCTCAACTACTCAGGGAACCGACAGGCTGTACTTACCGTCAGCATGGTGCTCAGGCTACCAGGAGAGGCATTAATTGGGGGGACTGAAGGAGTTATCCAGGTACCCAGTTATGTGGTGGGGGGGTATAAAGGATTTAGAAATGGCATACAGGTGGTCAGTGGAAACAGGGGAGGAAGGTGGGCACTTAAAGAACAACACTTCTGGGCTGGATCTTAGAGAAAACAAAGAACCAGGGAACTTCTTTGCTTGGTGAGCTGATGTAGCATAACAGCTAAGCTTATGGGCTGTGTCTCTGAAAAGTTCCTGGTCCAAACCATGCCTATCCCATGAAGTCACTAGGTTTTCTAGTGAAGCTAACCCTGGCCTATACTGCAGGATCAGTTGACGACAGACCCTCAGGCATTTCACAGAATGGAAACTCCGGTCTCTTGTGCAGCATGTAAGACCTTCAGCCAACTTTGGCTGAGGCACTTTCTGCTGCTTTTCCTTAGCCTTTTACACATAACAAGCGAACATGTATATCCTGCACATATCAGAAAAAGCACGTGTTCATTTTTCAAATGAAACTGGGGACTAGTACCTAGTTAAACATGGGATTTAAACTGCACATTGAGCGACACACATATGCAAAGGAAAATCAAGCGTAGGTGAATTGTATGCACATTCACTGTTAACTTTTGAACGGGGCTCTGGACATATGATCTGGCGAGTTATCCCCACTCTGATCGCATCTGTGTTAGATTACTACAAGGTGCTCTATCCGAGTGCATTTGATGCTTGTTCAGAAGTGTCACTTGATTCAGAATCCAACAGCAAGATTAATGTCTGTTCTAAATCGCAGAGGATGTTCTTTGAAGTTCTTGAAGATCCACACTGACTGATGGGTTATTTCTGGGCAAAATCTGAAGTGCTGTTTTTGACCTCTGCCGCCACACAAACCTGCTAATCCCTTCCCGTTACTACCAGAATAAAACTTTAAAAGTAGGAAGAAAAGCAAAATAAATTTTTTTAAAAGGGCAGAATTAGCAAAATGTACTTCACACACATAATTTATACAGGTCACAGGACTGATCCTTTATCAGCCCAGAAATTTCTTTTAATACAGAACACAGTCCTGATGACTGTGACGGAAACCACCTCTGGCCTTTTTTTGCTTTGGATCTAGATGGTGCAATTGCTACCAAAGCACAACTCCCACTATCTTCCTGCGGGACAGACTCCAAAGCATATCCTCTGGCCCTTGAAACACCATTATTGTATGGCATTGTATGCCGTATAGCCAGGAGATCCTAAGATTGTCTTGCAACCACAAGCTCTAGCTCTTTTAGCATTATGTACCACTAGGTGGCGAGCTAGACTTGTTTTTAAGGCAAGAGACGTTTTGCCATTGCCTGCCTATGCATCATGACCCTGGTATTCCCTGGAGGTCACCCATCCAAATACTAGCCAGGGCCGACCCTGCTTAGCTTCCAAGATTGGGCAACCTGTTGGGTCTCTCTCTCTCTAGATCCCCTCACACATGAACTGTCCCACAATCATGTTCCTGAAAGGCAACCGCTGGGAGTGGCCTCTTCCCCCCTCCCCAGAACCGCTTTTCTTTGAAAACGACATTGGGTTGAGATATGAAGCTGAGCACGTCCGCCAGTGCCTGTTGGAAGGTAAGTACCTAGCACTTATGTTTTCCACAAAATTGTCTGAATGGGAAAAACGGCAAACACACCCCAAGGCAGTGTCGTTTAACAGTTAACATCAGACCCGAATCTAAATTAAGATCAGAGAGTGTGGGAGAAGAGTTCGGAATCCTCCACCCCTTACTTTCGATCAGCCTGTTGTGTCCTTCGTGGCTCCAGTAACAGAAGTGAACAGAAAGATGGGGAGTGTCAGTCATCCAGGTTCTTTCTTATGCAGGTTTAAAGGAAAGTCCCGTCATGCCGTTATGTGAGAGTGAAGTCATAGCCACAATCCTGGACGAGGCACGGAGGCAGATCGGGGTGTTCTACGAGGGAGAGGACACTACCAAGGGCCAGAGTAAAAACACCAAATAAAACGTTTTTCTTGTCAAAAGTCTCAGATCTACGAAAAATGACTCCACCTATCATCATTGACATCACAGTATGGTTTGAAAGGGGGGGAGATGGTATGGAGAACCTCTGAAAATAGGCAGGACATGCACAGAAGCAGTCTTTTGAACAAGGAGAGGAAGCATGTTGTCCTCAGTGTTCACACTCGTGCCTACGGCACTCTGCTCACTGCTCCAAGTGAATCAGAGTGGAAGACTTTTCTGCCAGGCTCAGAAGCAGGCATTGCAGCCACAGGTTTTACTGCACACAACCTCACCTTTTGGTTTCATTTAAACAGGGCAGTGAGTTTTAGCCTATATGGCCACCAATTACCACATGTACCCTGGTATGACACCGAGAACCAAAAGAACAATTTCCATTCCACTGGCTGAGAGAGAGGCAGGCAGACCACTGTGGTTCACACTACAGGGGGGAAAGGACATTTTAAGTCAGAGTTAACAGCAAAGAGGAAAGAACACAGGCAGCTTTATGGGAACCCACAGCCATATAAGGGATGTAGATCAAGATGGGTAGTCATGTTAAGTCTGTAGCAGTAAAAAAGACTTCGACTCATGAAAGCTCATACCCTGCCACAAATTATCTTAATCTCTAAGATGCTACTGGACTCTTGCTCTTTTCTACTGACATAAGGGATGGGTAGGTAAGAATTCCGTGACTGAAGCATACTGAACTAAGCCTAAATCTTTTCTCTTTTTAAAAAAAATATTAACTTGGATGCAGGAGAGGTCTCAAGTTTCTCCCTTTCTCACAATACAAGAACTCGTGGGCACTCCATGAAATTGCTGAGCGGTCAGGTTAGAACGGATAAAAGGAAGTACTTCTTCACCCAAAGAGTGATTCACACATGGAATTCACTGCCACAGGAGCTGGTGGCGGCTACAAGCATGGACGGCTTCAAGGGGGAATTAGATAAGCATATGGAGCAGAGGTCCATCAGTGACTATTAGCCACAAGGTATAGATAGGGGCTCTGGGGCAAGTGATGCTTTGGGGGGCGGTTTTCAACAGTGGGAGGGCTTCTAATGTCCTGGCCCCACTGGTGGACCTCCTGATGGCACCTGGTATTTCTGGCCACTGTGTGACACAGAGTGTTGGACTGGATGAGCCTTTGGCCTGATCCAACATTGGCGTCTCTTATGTTCTTAAGTTGGGAAGGGTATGGAATACAATCTTCACCATCCAGAGAAAAGCCATGAAGGCAGGTATTAAGAGCACACAGCATTCTGTTAACACACAAAGTGAAATCAATTTTAAACAGCACCGAGAGACCTTTCAATGCCCCCACCCCAAACCTGCTTATTGTCTTTATGGTAATCCAGCTCCGACCTTCCAGGCGCAGGGATCCCTCTCTCAAGCAAGACCAGAAAACTTTCCTGCACCCAAACCTTGTATTACTCTAACAGAACGATCGACTGTAACAATCTGTAATGGGGTTTTTTTAAGGTGGGGTTTCCCCATTTAAAAACACACACACACACACACACACACACACACAAGATTGTGAACTTTTGAAATTGTTTAATAAGCCCGGGTGCTATTTAAACCAGGATGCCGTACTGCTTCAGGACATCTGTGTATTTTGAGATCTTGCTCTCCATGTTTTTCTCTGCCTGCTTTCGGAGTTTCTACAAGGAGAAAGAGGGAGAGAGGCAGCTCAGGAGTGGCTTTAAGCAGGCCAAAAATGCACGTGAAGCACTAGAGAGCTGATGTCAGAGCACCAGACAACACAGCTGCTCATCATTTTATAGGACAATGAAATCATCAGAATTACAAGAGGCCCTGTTGACCTGTAGACACATCCTGTGGCCGACCAGACTCCTCCACCTTCACAGGCCGGAGGGTTTTGCTCTCTTCTCTGACATACGACACCCAGGCCCTCCTCACTGGCAACTACAGAGAACTCACCATCAGCTGCTTCTTCTTGGTATAGTGGAGCTTGGCCTTCTCCTTACGCTTCTCCTCCAGGGTGGCCGTGATGGCCTGGTACTTCCAGCCCACCTCATGGGCAAGGCGGCCCAGATAAGCGAACTGTTGGCCGAGAGGAGAAGCCTCCGTTTAGGACTTAGAACTGTTACTCCGACACTGCGCCATCTTGGCCCCACATCTGACAACATTGCCCACCCTGCCGAAGGTCGTAGGCCGCTTTCCCATGAGCACCTTTGCTGTGAAGCAGAAAATTTGGCCCCCAATCTGGACACCTTTGCCCACTGAATTCTACTCCCATCCAAGGAGACTTCTACCCTTCCCTAAAGAGATTCCTCTCCCTGTTCTGGGCAACAAATGTCCACCCAAACCCACACTAGTCCAGTATCCCAAGCCCGTGGCATGGTAACCCATGGGACCACTCTTCCTGGAGGATCTACACCGGCAGCCACACACCAGACCTGCTTCCTGCTACCCAGAATGGCCAAGGCACCCTCCTCTCCCTCACCACAAGCACATCTTTGTCCTACAAAAGGGCGGTCTCAGATGGTAGTGCATGAGGGGTTGTCGTCTCACGGTCTTGAGACTCGAACAAAAGGTGGTGTGTCATCATCACAGACCTGCCCCTGAGCCTGCATGCGGGAGGCTGCTTAAATGTGCCAAGTGCGGCTGGTCTCGCCAGCGGCTGCGTGGTCAGGCAGTGCCCAATAGATGGAAGCAGCTTTTTCAAGCCTCATGTGCACCAAAAATGATCTAGTTAAGAAGTGGCAGGACGGGTTACACCAGAACTGGTCAGAAGAGACAGCATGACGTTTCCTGGCATCGTACAAAATCAGGAAATGGAGTTTCCAATGATGCTTTATGCCTGGCCAGACTCCAGTCAATCCTTCTAGTCAAATAGTGTTTTGTTTTTTTACTGTGACTGGGAGCAGTTCCCCAAGGTTTCGGACAAGGGGGGGGGAAGCATTTTATCAGTCCTGTTACCCCAGATTCTGCTCACAGTTGAGGTACTAGATATAAGAGCCATTTTGGATCAGAGGTCCCAAGGTACATTGAGAGCAGCGTCTTTCCTGTTTCCCACAGCAACCAAGCAGATGCCCAGGAAGGCCCATAACAAGGCCCCTGAGGCCAAATCCCCCCACCCCATTGTTGGGGACCGACAACTGACACTTAGACGCCATATGTGAACACAGAAGTTCCAGTCAGCCATTTAAGGCTAACAGCCATTGACAAGACTCTCCACCACGCATGTATCTAACCCCCCTTTAAAGCCATCACCAAATCTTCTGGCAAGGTTCCTCACGTCAATGATACACACACCCCAGAGCAGGGGTGTCGAACTCATTTGTTATGAGGGCCAGATCTGACATAAATAAGACCTGGTTGGGCCAGGCCATGTGTGTCACGAAAGGTAACGCCAGGTAGCGGAGGTATAAACTTTATAAAGGACACAGACAAATGCAATTAAAGATTTTTTAAACTTTAAATACCACACTTCCAGTAAGTTCGACACCCCTGCCCTAGAGAAACCTTCAGAACACCATTCATGATACCAGATGATGGCAAGCCAGTGTTCAGTGAAGCAAGTGCCCTTTTAACTGGACCCGATACGCACATGCACACGCACAAAAAGTACATACCTTGCGAGTGGGCTTGAGGCGAACCACTTTCAAGGCAGCCGGCACCACCATCCTCTTGCGCTGCAAGGAAAGGGCATGTTTTACTCGCCGTATTCAAATTGCACATGGCTGCACTGCCAGAGGCACAAAATCTGCCTCAGCGTTGGAACTATTTTCTCAGTCCTCAGGTCAAACAATGTAGGTAATGAAATCATCACTGACAGAACAGGGGCGGGAAGTTCACGCAGTCTCTCTGATGTGCAGCAGGGAGGAAGTTACCTTATCGTAGGGAGGGGGGATGCCATCAAAAACTTTCAGCCTATCCAAGGCAGCCTGACCACGTTTGGTCTTGTGTGTCATTCCTGCAAGAGGGGAGAGATGATGAAGAAGATGATGAGTAGAATTGTATATCCTGCTTTTCTCTACCTTGAGGAGTCTCAATGCGCCTTACAATCGCCTTCCCCTCCTCTCCCCACAACAGGAACCTTTGTGAGGTAGGTGGGGCTGAGAGAGTTCTAAGAGAACTGGGACTGACCCAAGGTCATCCATCAGGCTTCATGTGGAGGAATGGGGAATCAAACCCGGTTCTCCAGACTAGAGTCTGTGACTCCTAACCACTGCAACACACTGGACATTTATCCTATACATATCCCTCTTTTCCTTTAGAGCTTGGGGCAGTGTACACAGGACTCTCCTCCCATTTGAGAATTATCCTTAGCCCGTAAGGTTTGCCAGGCCAAGACAGTGACTGCCCACGATGACCTAGTGAGGTACAAGACAGAGCAGGGATTTGAACCTGGGTCTCCACGGCCGCAGTCCAACACTCTGACTGGCACATCACCCAAGCTAAGGGTTAGAAGCAAAATGAAAAGCCAAAAATCCTCAATCCCCACAAGGCATATATAAGTGACTGATTTATGTAAAACAAGAGAAATGGCGTTTGTATGTGTACTTGGGATACCAACAGGGAAATCCCCCTCTCCCCATAGGATGTACTTATGTGCCAGCAAAGCTAGGCTAGCATCTAGTAAGTTACAACAGGAGAGTCCTGAAAAGAACAATGCAACTGAAATGAAGTGAATGGATTTGCAGATGATGAGGGGTATATACTCCCTGTAGACCCCGAATGGTTAACAATTCTTCGTTTTGAAGAAGATTTGGGGTGATGGTAGTGATACCACACACTTACCTCGCACTGTTCTCCAGAAGATTCGGCTGGGGGTGCGGAAGTGGTACGGCCCCCGGGAGGGGTTGGTGTTCATACGCTTGCGCAGGAAAGCGAGGTATTTCACTGGGAGAACAGGAAGGGTTACAGGGGTTAGACTGGGCTGAAAAGAAACTTATCGCTGGAGCAGGCTTGAAAAACTACAATGCTGGCTTGAATCTACTGAGGTTTCCTTCTGGTTTCTCTTTTAACTATGTTGCATTATTACGCAATGTTGTTGTAAGAGGTTGAACACAGCGGCAGGCCAGCCACAAAGGTGCGGCAGAAAAGAAAAACAAGGTGTGGAAGATGTGTCACATGGCAGTGGGGGTGGTCTCAGATGGTAGTGCATGTAGGAGTTGTCTCATGGCTATGACACTCGAAGTAAAGGTGGAAAGACATCATCACGGACCACCAGCCCACCACTCTTCCTCGACCCACCACTGGTGGGTGAAAGGGGTCAGGTACGGAGGTGCAGATGGAACGCTGCCGGTTCCCTGCCGTTCCCAAAGAACAGAGCACCTCTGCAAACATGGCATGGTTCCTGTCGGGCATCTAGCAAGCAGGCTGGCCAGGTATCCACCAGGCAGTGTGTGGACCCATCTGAACCGAGGTAAGCCAGATCTGCAACCCCAACACAGACTAAACAGACATACAAAACAGGTGATTGTACAAGTCACTCCCTGGCTCAGCAGTGCAGTCCCAAATTCAGTCCTGACATCTTCAGTTAAAAGGGACCAGGTGACATTGTTTGGGAAGAACTTTTCGGGCCAGAGACCTGCTGCCAGTCAATACTGAAGTGGGTGGAGCAGTGCTGTGACACGGCACAAGACAGCTTCACATGGCCCTTATTGGCTGTCTATGTTCCATTGTTCAGGAATGGTCAACCAGCATCCTACCTACAGCCAGACAGTGAAATGTACAAATCGGGGAGCATTTTCTCTGGCCCCCTTCAGTGGCCTTCCTAAATTTTAGTTCGTGTGGCAAACCGCTGTTCCACTTCACAAGCAAAGGAAAAAAATAAGTGAACTGTCTTTCTGTGCATTTCATTTAAACGTTGTGTTGATCCCTCTTGCACATGCCAGAAATGGCCCTTTGTAATATTGCTGACTTCATGATAGAAAGTGACCACCTATAAAGGGGAGTGAGACAGTTCTGGACATTGGATCATTGCTTGGATAATAAAAGCAATCCCTAATAACGTGGAGTTGGCCGTCACTGCGACCAAATATTAACTTGGACTTTATCGTTTGTACACAATCAGGAGGCTTGAAAGAGACATAATCTTCCCACATGGACAGTATTACACAGAACAGACAATTGCTTTGACCAAACAGGGGAAAAGGCAGGACAAGAACCAGAAATTGGGTACAAATTTAGAAGCTGCCATCTTACACTTGTTGCGGTAGAAGTTGCCGGAGATGTTGATCCCTTCACATCGCACGACCACGACTTTGCGTCCTATAGCGGAAAAAGGAGAGAGAGCAAATCATCTTAATTGCAAGACAACATAGTATCTGCATGCCCTGAACTGGATAGCCCAGGCAAACCCAATCTCCTCAGATCTCGAAAGCTAAGCAGGAACGACCCTGGCAAGTACTTGGATGGGAGACCTCTAAGGAATACCAGGGCTGGGATACAGAAGCAGGCAATAGCAAGCCACTTCTCTGAATGTCCAAGCCCTACGAGGGGTTGCCAGAAGTCAATCATGACTTCCAGGCATGCACGTACGTACACACACACACACACACAAAGGGAGATAGTGTCTGCACCAGAGCACTGGCTCGACACCAAGGCCAATACAAATGTGTGATCTACAAGCTGCAGTCTTCAATTCCCCAGTTCTTACATCCAGAAACTACCAAATGAGTCCCTTCTCCTTCCTAGGTGCCATGCTTTAATTCAAGGCTGGCCAGCTACGGCTCAGTAAAAAGCTATGGGCAGCCAGTTAAGTTGTTAGCAATAGGTTCTTGAGGCTCCCCTCCGCACAGGGACTGCAACTCAGTGAGAAGTCACATTCTTTGGAGGCATAAAATCCCAGATTCAATCCCTGGCATGTCTGCCAGACGCTTCAACAAACTGCTGCCCCCCCCCCCCCCCAACCCAAACCAGGTCATGCCCTGGGAACTCTGGCATGTTTAGCTGCCTTTTGGAAGGTCATGCTGCTAGTATGCTTGCAGAATGCAAGAGAACAACACCTATTGCCTCTCTCTGCAGACATCACTGCAAGAAGCAGCAAGGGCAGCGAGGCAGAACACTTGCTGGTAGACAGCAGTCCTCCTTGTTTCATTCCTCACTATGGTGCACCTCCTGGTGCTTGTATTTCCTACCCCCAAGCTCTTGGGTTACTGACTGGAATTCTGGCTTTGACATGAGTGAGGCTGTAACTCCTCCCTTCCAGGTCTTTTGACTCTGACATCATGAGATTTCCTGTTATGTGCTTGCAGCTCAGTGGGTCTACAACAGTTAATGACCATTGGTGTAAACAGGACTGGGCTAGAAAAGCCCAAAGTCTGATTCACTACATAGCAATCAGGAGGCCATAGCAAACCCTGTAAGATGGAAGTGGCAACAGCCCCAGCCCCAAGTGCTTCCAAGATTACAGCACTCTTAGCTTTTGACAGGGCACCAACTTCCCAAGTCCCACTCACACTGCCATTCCAAGAACAGGTACAATGAACAATGGCTAAAAGGGAATGAGCTGCTCTTACCGTGTGCAGTACACATACAAAAAACAGCATCCTCACAGACGGACCTGACAAACTATATTAGGGGAAAACCAGCCACCTTCCTCCTACTGGATCTCTGCTGCCCTTCAAATACGAAGTATTAACTCCAGAGGTTACAAGGTCTCTAAATATGAAAGATCAGCTCCATCCACATGATCCTGCAACGAGATCAGTCAAGGGGTGTCTGTGGGAAGAATCCACACAGTCATCTGGCAGGGATGTGTGCCATGGTTTTCTTGGCTGCTGCCCCCAAGCTCTGGAACTCAGGCTCCCATCCAACAGTTTGCCAACTAAAAATTTGTTCACTGCAAGCCTTCAGGAGGCGCTCTGTATCTAGCCATATTTCAAAGAGTTAAGGGCACGCAAGAGGGGGCAGCGATTTCTACTGCTGCTTCACTTCCATTGCAGACCCACTGCTTGCCACTAAATTTTATGAGGATTCCTCAGTGGGTTGCAGTAGATTGAAAGGAACTGGCAGAGATCACCCTGCCCTCTTAAGAAAAAAACTGTTCACTCAGATGATCAAATCTGCATGGTGGGCTACAGGCCAACAGGCAAGGCTCTGGGGTTAAAAAAAAACCTGAATTCCGCCACAGATTTCCCACCTTCTTTTGCTTTGCTCTTCCACTCTACACAATCCTAATAATTTCAAGCCCGTAAAAATTGATCCCTGACTCAGCATGATGGGTTTCCCCCCCATAAAAACACATACACAAGGTTTTCATGGATGTATCCACCGTCCATACGGTCTGTGGCAGACAAGCATGTGAGTGCAATGGGAATGATTTGAAAAAGTCCAGGGGGGGAAAAATCAGAATGATACGCTGGTAGTCAATTCCAGCGCTGAACATTCCTTCCCATAAAAGAACTCTACTCTGCCAGAAAAGAAGCAAAGAGAAAACCCCTACCCTTCCCCATTCTGCATACTGTTTCGGTTTGCTATGTGCCAAGAACCTTCAGTATCACCACTCGCAACCTACAGTGGCAAGTCGACCCCAGCACATAAATGCCCCAGTGCTGGATCAGGCCAACGGCTCTGCATTCTGCTTTGCGCACTGGGTTGACCAGGTACAGCCAAAACGCCTACTAGCACTGTACAGAATGCTCCCCCCTGCCTCTCACCAAGGAATTTCCATTTAGCCATCTCACCACCCGCCGTGCGTTCACCAAGACTTAAAGATAACCAACTCAAAGGGGGGAAAACACTCTTCACATACTCAGATACGCTCTTAGTTTGAGACCTAACTCAAAATTAGGCCACGCGGAAAACCCCCCCCCCCAAATCTGGGCCCGATTCGCTTCCTCCCTTCCCCGCCATCCTCCCCAACTTAATTCAGGGAGGAGAAGATGAGGGGAGGCCTTGCCCGAGCCCTCCCCCCTCCTGCTTCCCTGCTAACCCGCCAAACCCCAACTAAGGCCCCACAAGCCGGCAGCACCTTCGGCTCCGCCATGGCTGCTTCTCGGCGGCCGCACGGGAAAGAGACTCCGCCCCGAGCACGCCGCGGGGTTACCCTTTCCGGCGACTGAGAAACCAAGAGCGCAATAGCGGAAGTGACGTATAACAGAAACGCTCACCGCGGCATGGACTTCCGGTGGGCGTCGAGGGCCTCCGCGAATCGGTATTCGCGCGCCGTGGCGGTCGCTTTATGCCTGCACATCTCTATGGTGGACTGCGCGCATCCTCTGCGTGTAAACTGTGGGAAACCCGAACAAAGTTTTAGTCCAGTGGCCCCTTTAAGACGGACAAAGTTTTATTCAAAGTGTAAGCTTTCGTGTGCAAAACACAGTTCTTCAAACAAATGGAATAAGATCTCAAGGGCTACTTGCAGGAAAAGGGGGTGGGTGGGCAGCCGTTAGGAAGGGCCACTCCCGAGCCAAGATGCCTGTGCAGAGCTGAAATCGGATCAGGTGGCCGGTAAGATCAGTGAATTGCAGCAAATAAGCACGCAAACAGTGTTCCCTCTGAGTTAGTGTGAGCTAGCTCACAGGTTTTTAGCCTCCAGCTCACGCGTTTTTGTCTTAGCTCAGGGAGGATGGCTCCAGAGCAAACGAATGAATGCGGTAGCCAAGTCGCTCCCTCACCACTTTAATGCCAGTAGCTCACAAAGTAGCATTTTTGCTAGCAAGACTCCACAGCTTAGAGGGAGCATTGCATGCAAATGCAAGAGTTAACCAAAAAGATGTGAGATTGAAGCTAAGAGTCCGGCAGTACCCACAGGACAAACCAAGTTCCACGCTGCGTACAGGGAAAACCAAAGTACTGCCTTTAATCCGCCCCCCCCCCCCGAGATATGTGGAAGAGCTAGAGACATTAACTTCGTTGATGAAGAGCTATAAAAAGAAGCCACGAAGATGGGAAGTAGGCATGCCAACAGGCCTGTAGCCAGGATTTTGTGGTTTGTGGGGCATTTTTTTTTTCTGGTGGGGCTGAAGTTCTCAGTGCAGAAAGAAAAACCAGAATTCTGAGGATTATGACTCAGCCACTGTGGAATCAAGCATTTTAAAATCAAAGGATAGAGGCTTCTGCAACTCTTACTCCCAGAGTGTGACAACAGCAAACTGAGAAAGGGTGGGGAAGGGAGAATAAATTTTCTGGTAGATGGTCAGAGTGCCACTGAAAATACTTATCTGGGTTTGGCCAGTAAACTCACTCCAATTTGTATAAAAACACATAGAACTTTTATTTACAGGAACAAAGGGCAAACAACACATAGCTAGGGGAAAGAATGTATACAGTTCAGCAAGGAATGCAAACCAAAACAAAAAACTTAGCTGGCTGTTCTACTCACTACATAGCAGCAGGGTGGAAGTAGAAGAGAACTTCAAGGTCCCTTCTCAAACTCTCTATTCTACATAGGTGTTCTTAATCATTTAGCCAATAGGAAGCTGTTACCAGGATAGATCTCTAAAATGCAAACTGTCAACGACTTTAGATGACAATTCTCAGCTGCTGCAAGTTAATCACTTCTGCCAGCCTAAGCAACAATTCTGATAACAAGCTGACAGGTGGAAGTGATGACTTTTAAAGTCAAGAAAACTTAGACAAAAAAACTATCTTAAAGGAGACTAGTTTCTTGACACAGAGTTGGAAGGGATCCTAGAGGTCACCTACTCCAACCCCCTTGCTCAGTGCAGGAATTAGTCAACTACAGCACCCCACTCTGCTTAAAGGAGCACACGACTTTAAAAAATGTTTTACAATGGTTGAAAAAAGCATTTACAGGAGAAATTATTCTGGGGCTGTGCCTTTAAGAAAGGGGGCAAAGCCCCCCAAAGCCCTACTAGCTATGAGACTGGTTGCCAACCTCCAGGTGACACATGGAGATCTGTTATTACAATTGATCTCCAGATGACCAAGATCAGTTCCCCTGGAGAAAATGGCTGTTTTGGGGGGGTAGACTCTATGGCATTATCCCCCTCTGAGGTCCCTCCATCCCCAAAATCTCCAGGTATTTCCCAACCCAGAGCTGGCAACCCTAACTGGAAGCGAGTTAGCATTAAGATGGAAGGCGGTAAAAAAGCCATGTCAAGGCTGCTGCTGCAGGGAATGTGGTTTCTGTATGCTCTGTAGTACTTTCCCCAGCGCATTAAAAACAACAACTTTTGTTTCACTTTATGTATGCTAGGACTGAATTCACACGTGATACTTGACTCCATTTATCAAACCCCAAATCCCCCTGGAACAAACCTGCAGGAGTGAAGGAACATTCAGCCCCTCCCCAAGATTATAGGGCTGTATTTTAACAGAGATTCAGGAAGGTACTTTAATAAAGGGAATAGGACCATGGACTATACTGCTGTGTACCGTATGTATTATCTGTTGCTGTATGCATCAAATTGCTCTCGCTGTACTGTATATCTAATTACATAATACCAGTTTAATACTTACACTTTGTTTCAGGTTTCTGTAAACCTGTCCTCTTACATTGCTTGTCAGATATCTCATCCTATTGATTGCATTGACGTACAATGCGTAATCCGCCTTGATTCTCAGTGAGAAAGTCGGACTACAAATAACGGTAAGAATGAATGATTGCAGAAGTGTCTAGGATCATGACCGTCACCGGTGCTCACAGCAAGAATGCTCATGGGGTGGGAGGAGAGTCTCAGGAGAACTATGCTCACCTGGTATTTCTTGCTATTTGCTGTCTCACTATACTGTGTGAAACCTACCCTAACATTATGACTCAGACCCCCAGCCATCCCACAGATCCGATGTACATGGAGGCCCTTAGCAAAGAAGATGCCTTTTGTAATCTGTTTCTAAATTATTAGCCAACATAGGCTCAAAGGGAGAAAAGTCAGTATTATCAATTCAGACTGGCAGCGGCTCTCCAGGGTCTTTCACATAACCTACTACCTAGTAATTTTATCTGGATTGAACCTGGGACCTTCTGCATGCCAAGCAGATGACCTACCACTAAACCCCCCAAAATCAGTATTTTTTTAAAAAAAAATCAGCAGTGGGCGCTCCATTTATCAAACCCCAAATCCCCCTGGAACAAACCTGCAGGAGTGAAGGAACATTCAGCCCCTCCCCCTTATCTCAGTCAAGGGTCTGTTCCATCCCGATCGCCCATGACTGTGTAGAGGGTATGTTTTCTTTTTCTCTCTAGAAGGAATGTAAGATGTACCGTGAAGGGAGGATAAAAGTGAATTATGCAGAGAGATTCAGGAAGGTACTTTAATAAAGGGAATAGGACCATGGACTATACTGCTGTGTACCGTATGTATTATCTGTTGCTGTGTGCATTAACATGCTCTCGCTGTACTGTATATCTAATTACGTAATACCAGTTTAATCCTTACACTTTGTTTCAGGTTTCTGTAATCCTGTCCTCTTACATTGCTTATCAGATATCTCATCCTATTGATTGCATTGACGTACAGTGCGTAATCCGCCTTGATTCTCAGTGAGAAAGGCGGACTACAAATAACGGTAAGAATTAATGATTCCAGAAGTGTCTAGGATCATGACCATCACTGGTGCTCACAGCAAGAATGCACTTGGGGTGGGAGGAGAGTCTCAGGAGAAGTATGCTCACCTGGTATTTCTTGCTATTTGCTGTCTCACTATACTGTGTGAAACCTACCCTAACATTATGACTCAGACCCCCAGCCATCCCACAGATCCGACGTACATGGAGGCACTTAGCAAAGAAGATGCCTTTTGTTATCTGTTTCTAAAGATCTGGAAGCGCACCATCTAATCTTCAGTACGGTATGCACTTTACTGTTAATTGTTAATTTATATTTGTATGAGTATGTTTTATGTGGTTTTATATAGTTTTACTTTTTATGGGTATGCCAATTAGGGTACATTGTACCGCTTTTGTTAGCCGCCCTGAGCCTGTTCGCAGGATGGGCGGGATATAAATATAATAATAAATAAAATAAATAAATAAAAATAAATTATTAGCCAACATAGGCTCAAAGTGAGAAATGTTTTATTTTTATAATGGCTTCTAAATTGTGAGCCTATGTTGGCTTGACCTTCCCTAAACAACCCCCCCCACACACACACACCTTGTAAACCTGTTCTTTGACCTGCTGATCACTAAGCAACCTTATCTCAGTCAAGGGTCTGTTCCATCCCAATTTCCCATGACTGTGTAGAGGGTATGTTTTCTTTTTCTCTCTAGAAGGAATGTAAGATGTACCGTGAAGGGAGGATAAAAGTGAATTATGCTTAAGGATGGAATTGGTGAACTTTCTTTTGGAATTCTGGACTTTTATCTTTTCTGTGTTTTATCCTATAAAAGAAGAACTTGAGTGACTGTTGTCTCTCCCAGATAGCCTTGGAGGGGAGGGGCCTGTACTAGAATGTGCAAAGCTTCTCTAACATTTACCTTCGATGCATGATTGAAACCACACATTTTTCCAAGCTCATACCGAAAAATGTATGACACAGTCAACGTATCAACACAGTCCCTGGTTTCTAAAGTGAGCACATCTTAGCTCTTTCTAACAAACAGATGCACACACATATATGAAGGATATAGGTGTGTTCACTGTAACGTGTGAAATGGGCTTGTGTTTCCCTCCCACAGACAGTGGGGTTCCCAGGCAAGATTCAAGCCATTAGCAAACTTCTTAATGGGGGGGTAGGGGGAAAACATGAAAAGTGTCCAGTAAATTCATTCCATAAGAGACCCAATCCTCATTTCTCAGCCCTCCCCTACTGAAACTTGGTTTGTTTTTTCAAAATCTCCCAGGCTCCTGTGGGTACCTGGAAAACTTTCGAGAGGTCCCGGTCTCTCATATTCTGATAGACAGGCGAGTTTCTCTCATTCCACTGACATTCCTGAGTGTTGCAGAGGACTCTAGGAAGACGCATCTTTAAAAGCTTTCTGGGAGCCCAGGCCAACATGAGAGGAGAAAGGCGACAGATACACACTATTGATGCTGAGCTTCTCAGCTTCCCGTGCAAAGTAACAATGGAGTTCACTGGGCTTGGCAGGCCCCTTCCCACCCACAGGGCCTCAATGTGCCCCCCTCTTTAAGGATCCTGCAAGTTTGGCCGTATACTGGCAGACCTCAATTTGCCATTATAACTGAACTAAGCTTATACATTCCACACACCTTGAAAATTCATGGAATCCTGCAGATTGATGTCGACACCATCTGTTTTATTGGCATAGCTTCCCCCCCCTCCACCTGCAGATGCAGGGCTTCGAAAAACATGCAAAAGATGAGTTAGGGTCGGTCCTGTGGATATGACACCCCCAGCTGCCTACGGACTTCGTCCAGGATGGAGTGGACCAGCTCACTGTCTGCGTGAGACATGACGGGGCTCTCCTTCAAGCCTGTGGGAGGGGGACGAGAGAGCAGAGTCGAGGTCAAGCCGTGAGTGGATCAAAAGTCCGAGCGGCCACACAGCCTTGCCCACCCGCTTGGCACTCTGATGCCGTGAACTTCCCCTCCCAGCAGCCTCTGGGATATTTACCTTGGAGGAGACATTGCCGGACATGTTGTGCTTCATAACGCAGCCCCGTGGTGTTGGGGAAGTACAGTTTTTGGGAGGGAGAGGGAAGGGGGCATTCTTCACTCTTCCCATTGACAACCAGCTGTACTGGGCTCCAGAAGGTACTCGGAATCTACAGGCACAGGAGAACAAGTAGGAAACCAAGACAAGTTTCAGAACTTTATTGTTCCGAATTTCCACCAAGAGCAGCCTCTACTCCAGGAATCTCGTTCTGATCAAAGCCCACTGCTCCTCTCTCCAAG